TTCTAGTTTTGCACTTGACTAGAGGAAATGGATCATGTTGTAAGGCCTTAAAAGAAAACAGCAGAAAAATTATTTTTCATATCAAGGAAATATATATTTTAGTAAAATACTCTTAAAAATTTGTTGAATAAACATAATTATAATAAATTCATTTTTGAATGTAATGTAAAAAATATATTTATATACCACTTACATGTATAAAAATATATTTATAAATCTTATTATATTATTAAAACAAATAATATATATATATATAATTATATTTTTATAAATATAAAAAAAAATTTTATATATAATACTTTTATTTTAATATTTAAATTATTATTATTTTATAAAATGTTCCCAATTTCCCATATAAACGTATTATATATTTAACATTGGCGAATTCGCTTTTGAGAACAGCACCTGAGCCACAGCTGAGCAGTTTCTTATAAGAATATTTTGTTGTTTTTGTCGTTGTTGTTTGCATGTGGCATGTGTCGCTTTTATTTGCCTTTTAGTCGCATTTGTTGCGCTTTGTTCTTGCAGCGCTCGCTGAAAAGATCACAGACCTTCTGACCTCACTCGCGATCGCACTCTTCCTCCCCCTCTCTCTCGCTGGCCCTCTCTCTCTCTCTCTCAGTCGCTCTTCCACTTGCCTTGGCAGCGCCCTGGCAAATGTCGTCCCGCCGCAACCTTAGGGCAGCGTGTGTGGGGGGCGGCGGGGCTAGCGGCTTGACACTTACAAAAAAAAAAAGAAAAAAAAAAAAACTGCCTCAGCTGCTGGGCAGCTGTGGGCAGGCAGGGTTGCTGCGGGACGGGGAGGCGGGCTGGGGACATGGGGCTACAATATATGCACGCCGTTGCGGCGCGTCGCTGTCGCCGTCGCCGTCGCGGTCGCAGTTCTAAAAATATTTCAGGTCGCTCGGTCGTTTGGTCGGTCGCGATGGCCGCCTGTTCGCTTTTGGTCTCGTTTGGGTTAAGTGTGCGGCGCATCTGTATCTGTATCAGAGTATCTGTATCTGTATCTGCAGCTGTATCTGTAGCTGTAGCTGTATCTGTGGCTGTGTATCTTGGGCCAATATATATATGCACAGAAATATATTGCTGCTGCGTCTTTTGACGTGCTTTTTATTATTATTTTTTTGTATTATTTTTTTTCATTTCTAAAGGTTGTTTAGGTCGTCGTGATATCAAATGATATCGATTTACAATTCAACGTACATATAAGTATGTATAGTATATATTTGTAGATGGTACCAGGCCAGGTTTTTTTCATTAGAACGGCGTTCAGTGCAATTAATATGCATATGTTTTTGCTACATTTTGCCCACTGTTCGGGCGAACAACAACTGGGCAAATAGGAAAAGTGCAATGGAACACAACAACAACAACAACAACAACAACAACAACAACAACAACAACAACAACAGCAACAACAACAATTGACAGACGAGGCCAAAGTATCAAATGGACAAGCGATACACTCACAGTTACGCACACACACAGACACACGCACACATTTACACACCAGCTGCATTTGCATGTGAGTTTAAGTGCAGCTTTTTTTTTCGTTTCACTCTTTTTTTTTTTTTGTCGTCTGCGCTGAACTCTGAACCAGCTGACCTTCATTGAACCCTTTTTCAGCTGCGCGCACACACACGCTGCACACTGCACTCGGCGTGAGAGCGAGCGAGAGAGAGAGAGCAAGCACGAGCGAACGCGCGTAGCCAAAGAGAACGCGTCAACTGATAAAGCTCAAGGCGCGCGCTCTTTGCAGTGCGGCGCTCTTCACATCAGACGCGCGCGCTCTCTCTCTCTCTCGCTCGCGTCTGAGTGTGTGTGTGTGCACGTGTTGAGCGGCGGCTCCAATGTGGAGCCGTTGCGGCGACGCTTTGCTGCTCAGTACGTTCCCGTTTGCGCTGCGAGTCGTGCGAATTGCGCTCGCTGCAAAGCACACACAAAAAAAATAACGATCGCAGTTTGCTTTTTTTCGGCGCGCAACCAACAACAGCAACAGCAACAGCAACAACTCGAGTGCTGATAAAAAAGCGAGCCATAAATTTCTAACTAAAAAAACCAAACAAAACAAACAAGCGTGCAACGTGCGTCAAACAGCTGAAAAGCTCAAAGGATTAAGCTGTTATATACACGCCATACAAAAAGTCAGAAGAAGCAGAAGCGGCATATGCAACAGTTTTGTGTTTTGTGCAACAAACTCACGTGTGCCCCCCCGAAAACACACATAACAAGCAAAAGATACAAATGCGAGCATTAGCAAATCCGCTGTCAAATGTCAGCGCAGACGGCACGTGACCAGCGACAACAACAAGAACTGAGCTTCATGCAACAAATGTATCTTTTAGATTAAGATACAATATCTGCGAACGCAATTAGCTGGTCGAAAAGTGCAAATGTGAAATGCAAATTAGTCGAAAAGTGAATGCCAATTGGAATGCTCATAAGAATCAAAGCATTTTGCTTAAAGGTCAAAGCGTCAAATTTGAAATGTTGCCCGTAAAAAAAAAAGAATCAAATTTAAAATCAAGCAAATGAAAGTCAACGCGTGTGTTGTTCATTAAAATATATAAAAAAAAGTACAAAAAATCAAATAAATGTTTATATCTAAAAATACATTCACGGAGCGCGGAAATACGATAACAACAAAAACAAACGACAAACATTTAAAAAATAAGTGCAAACTGCGGCAGAAAAATTACAACAAAAAAAAACAACAGCAGCAAAAATATGTAAAAAAGTGATTTTTCAACAAGTAAAAGTTTTGTTTAAATAAGGCTCAAATAACATATCAACGCACATTCAATATAAATAAAAAATAAAAAATAAAATAAAATATAAATATAATAAAGAAAGCAAAATAATAATAATAAACAAAATAAAATAAATAAATAAATATAATAAATAATTAAAAACAATAACGAAAAACGAAATATAAATAAGAAATTATATATATATATATATACAAATATAGCTAATATACAAAATAAAAGTATTTAAGAAAAGTTAAAAAAAAAATTTGAAAAAATCGCTTGTCTGAATTTTTTGCTGCTGTCCGTGCTTTCGGCCACTTTTGTCAATTGGCTTGACAAATTGACAGCAACAACAACAACAACAACAACAACAACAAATAATAATATTATTAACAGCAACAACAATAGAAGTCGTTGGCGGTAATCAACGTGAAACAATCGACACAAAACAATACAGAAAAAAAATTATATACACCAAAATAAAATTTCAATCAAAAAATAAAACTCGAAAAAAAAAGGTAAATTTCAAATGCAAAAAGCTGTTTAAATAACTCGCAAAACGCCAAAACGCGACCTTAAACTTTGTGTATCAATTTTTGTGAGTACACTTTGGTTTTTTATTTGATTCTTCCCAAGACTCTCGACAGTTGACAGCGACATTTGAAATACCCTGCAAAATTCAAATGCACTTCAAATAGAAGCCCAGCTGCGGCGCTTAAACCGGTTGCGAATTATTACGTGCTTGAAAATTTGTTGTATGTTGTATTATTATTTTATTTTGAACTTTTTGCCATGCATAACAAATATGTGTGTTAAACGCAATTTGACGGCATTTAAGAACTTTTAATTTTCAAACAAAGCACATAAAACATTAGACAAAGAAGAACTGTGACTAAGCGTGGGCTAAGGCGACCGAGTGCATACCCTGTAAAATATGAAATATGAATTACTGTTGTGCTATGAATATGTTATATTATAAAAGAAGGAAATAAATTAATCAGTGAGCTGAAGTAAACATGTTTAATGAAGGAATAATCTAAACAAGACTTAGATTGATATCTTTTGAAGGTTCCTTCCCTTCTATCAAAAGTAAATCTTTTTTTCAATATCTCTTTTAAAGCTAAAGAGCAGCCGTGATGGAATTATATCAAGTATATTTCTCTCTCGTCTCTAGAATTTGTGTAACCTTTGATTTCAAAACTAAGTCCCAAAAATTCTATACTCATTTATAAGCGAATTCATAGGTTTCTTAGGTGAATTTGGATATTTGTGTCTGAATTGATTCCGAAACTCACTCCGAAAATTCGAAATGCACTTTATTAGTGAATGCATATGTTTCTAAAAAAAACGGATTTAATTTTTTTGATTATGCCAGATATTTAGTCTTTTATTTAATAACTTCGACTTTCAAAAGTGTGTAGTTTTTGATTCCGAAACTAAGTCCGAAAAACTGTTTCTTCAGTGAATTTAGATATATGTTCTTTAAATAATTTTAAGTTTCTTTTCTTCGATTTAAGGGCTTCTCTATGTCAGATATTTAGCCTTATATATAACTTTGTACTGTTTTTTTGGTTCTACAATATGCGTTTACCAAGTTTTCTCTTGCCAGGCTCCATGAGGTCAGGAGAAGATTTATGAGAATATATCATTTTCAATAAGAGTGGAAATATTGAATAATTTAAATGAAGATGCTTCAGACTATCTGACTAGTTCAGTGTGCCCTCTTGCACATTTCTGCAACTACAGGGTATTAGAAAAAAGCATTTGCACATTTGACAACAGGTGAATTAATTAAAGAAACACCCAGCTGAATGTCTGGCGAGGCAGTTGCATATTTAAGAGCCAAGCTAAATACTAAATACATTAAGACATTAACACAGACAACTTAAGATTAAGTGACAACAACAACAACAACAACAACAACAACAAGAAGAAGAAGCAGGTGAATACAAAGACAAATTAGCGACATGAAAATGGCCAACAACCTGTTGGCCGAGCATAATTGAAAAATTGGCCAAGAAAAAAAACAAATGAAGGGGGATGGGGAGGGGGGGGGGGACGAAATGCCGCAATGATAACTGCAAAATGAAGCAAAGAAAACTCTATTCAAATAACTTAATAACTTAATCTCCACTTAAAGCCAACTCTTGCTAACGCTTTTCCTATATTTTCTTCTTCTCTTTTCGTTTTCTTTGTTTATTTCCGGACCCGGCAGGCTGCAGCAGGCGGAGCGAGCGAGCCAGCGAGGGAGAGAGGGAGAGAGCGCGCGGGGCGGCGGCGGCGACAAATCGAATCGGTGCGGTGCGGTTTTGACAATATGTTGAGCCCACCATAATGAAGGAAATTGATACCGAGACAACAGTAGTATGGCCAGCCTGGTGTTATTCCGGTAAGTGAGACATGCCCCACCCCTTAACCCCGCCCCCCCTCGGCACCTGGCACCTGCCCCCGTGTTGTCTAAACAGCGTTTATCGCGTTTTATTTAACTGCTACCAAAGACAGCAACAATGCATCGAGCTAGACCGAGACCAGACCCCAGAGCCCAACTGAAAAAAAAATCAAAACAAAAACAAATGTTATCTGTACGGTGTCGAAGACCAAATACCCTGTAATAAAACTATGCCCAAACTATGACTCGCTTTTAGATTAAACTTTGGGTCTCCATAACCTCTCCCTTAAAAACAAAGAAAGAATATTATTATTCATAAGATCCCAAAGTTATTGTGCATTTTTCTCTGGCTTTTCCCTGGAAAGAAATGATAGGAAATTCCTGATAGGAAAAAAAAGTATGATGAATCTCATAAAAAGATTTCCTACCGAAATAAACATTTTTCTGAAAATTTTTCTTTTGGTTGACCTTGATTTTTGGCTGTTTTTCTCATTCTTTAACTGAGAAAAACATGAAAATGTACACATACGAAGTTAGATTTTGACTGATTGTTCCTTTATCAGCTATATAATTGCATCTGATCGATTTTGACATATATCCTGCTTGGAATCAAAAGGTACAACATTTCAATAGCTTAGCTTTTTTGTGAGCTAAGTTCAAATTGTTGAACAGGGCAGAGGTTAGTCTTTTTAAATATATCTATGTATACCCTGTAAAAATGCTCAAGACCGGACATGATAAAGCAGCAGATTATTACGAATTATATAAAGTTTATAAATATATACATAAATGTATCTATAATTTATCATATATATTTATTTATTTATGCTACGAGAATTCAAAATGTCGTCCTTGATCAAATCGTCGTTATCTGCTAACCTATCATACCCCATGTGAAGCATTTTTACAGGGCATCAAGCATAAAACTAGGTGTTGAAAGTTCAACTATCGTTTTACGCTTTTGTTTCTTTTCCCCCGTTTTTGTGTTTTTCCTTTGTTGTTGTATTTATTTCTCATTCGGTTTTTGTTTGTTTGTTGTTTGTGTTGCTTTGTCGGTGCCCCCTCCCTGCCCCCTGCCCCTTACCTATCCACAGCTTTTCTTGCCACCGTTTCTCATATTGTTGGTCAGTTTGCTGACTTTTTGTGGCCACTGTAAAAATAGACAAAGACCCTTCCCTGACCCGAACTCTGGCAGAAACTTTGTGAACTGAACTATCAAACAATTTATAAATGCCTTGCTTTGCACTCGTATGTTATTGATATATTAGCTCGATTTGAAGCTGCGACAACTGCAGCGTCCAATAATTATGATAATTATTTAGAATCAAGACGTTGATGATGTCATCTGGCTCACCTTTGACTTTTGTCTGTGGCTTTTTGATCGGATGCCAGTCGCCCAAACGCCAATCGCGTGCTCCAAACGAGAATCTAACTCATGATATGCAACTCAAAAGTAAAAGGCAAAATTAGCTAAAAAATATATTGCCAGAGCACGTCTGGAATTCAAATGTATATAACAAAATGAACGCTTAAATGTATGTGTGTGTGTGCACTGTGAAACCTTCGAAGCTTTCACATATACAGCTCGCATGCATGCACGCGCAGCACGTACCTGCCTATGCATAGCCATAGAGCTTTCAAAAGCTCACCAATACTCGTGCAGCTGCGCAGCTTCCACTGCATTTGCACAACCTTTTGACCAAAAATAAGCAGAAAAAACAATAAAGAAAAAGTGGCTGCCACTCCCCAGTTGAAGTGCGGGCAAATTAAGCATTCAGCATGCAAATTTTTATTAAAAACAAAGCACCTCACGCACACGCACACACAGGCAGACACACACACACGCAAAGAGAAAGAGACGCCCCGAAAAAGCCACAAATTTCAATGAGACTTGGGACTCGAGTTGACTTTGACCGGCTCCTCAAATAAGGCAGCACACACACACACACACTCATGCACACACATGCACACACACGCACGCGCTTGTTTGTAGAGGCGGGCGGGAAATAAAACGTTGCGCGGCTTTAAAATTAAAATAATCAAAAATAAAGTATATACAAAAAAATAAAAATAAAATAAACAAGCGTGCAATGATCATGAACATGATCATGATGATCGTTAAAAAAAAAAAATAAGCGAAAAAAAAAACACAGAAATAAAATTAAAATGCAAAACGAGTCGGCGCAACGTTTCGGGCAGGAACAGAAGGTGCACAGCAACAACAACAACAACAACAATCAGAAGCAAAGGAAGAAGAAGAGGCAACAGAAGCGAAACGCTTTCAAGTCTCTGCGTCTGGCCCCTCGTGAGGCTAATACAACAACAACAACAACAACAACAACAAAAACTTATCAATATGAGTAGCGCTGCATTTATAACCTTTGTCTCTTGTTGCGCTTCACTCTTTGGCACTCTGTATTTCTTATTTTATTTTATTTACCTTATTTTTGTTTTTTTCTGCCTGTCTCGAAACCTTTGACGCGAACTTATGCCCTGCAAATGGCCATGGAATGTTGACTTGTCTGGAACTGAGACTCGAGAGCTGAGAACTGCGAGAACGCCAGTCGCAGTTGCAGTCAGGCAAGCAAAGCAGAAAAAAAAAAGAAAAAAATAATCAGACATGACGAATACGCAATGCACTCTCTTAGGAATATATTACAAAATTAAAGTCAAGTTTATAATTACTTGGGTAAATATTGACATTAACTTAACCAAAACAGAGTTGAACGTTAAACGTGATTGATATATATATAAAATTTTATTTATATAGGGTTAAAAATACTTTAAAAAGGTTAAAATTACTTATATTTCTTTTAAATTCAAACAAATTTCCGTTTTACTCTTTCGCCTATAAATAGAATATTGGTTCAGTACCTAATCTGTTAAATTAGTTTTTGTTATTTTGCTTACGCCTCTCTTTAAAGGCATTCAAAAATTCGCCGCAAACCTTATGCTCAAGTGCAAAGGCTCTCTCTTTAGCAAGAGCATTAAAAGCGCAATGTTGAGTTTCGTTGTTGTTGTTGTTGGTTTTGGTTTTTTTTATATGCCGATGGCGTGCAGTTGTCGATGACGAGCAGCAACGACTGCGCAGCCGCAGCCAAAGCCGCTGCTGCTGCTGCTGTTGTTGTCGCCGTCTCCTTCACCTTACGCGTCCTCGCGCGTTCATTATGTCTGCTCAACTTTGCACTCGGCAGCAGCAGCAGCGACTGCAGCAGCAGCGACGCCAGCAGCTAAACGACTTGAGACACGCACACTTGTTGCTCTTTTGCTCTTACGCTCTTTGGCATCTTGCATGCACTTATTTATTGTTTGTTGTATTTATGATTTGCGATTTTACTGCCTGTCTATGCAGCATACCCCTCGCTCCCCTCACACCGTCTCGCACACTCTTTAGTCATGGCTATCGATGGCCGCACGGTAGCCGCCGCAGGGCGCAATTACGCCACTTGTTGGAATTTCACTCGAGTCGCGTTGAGAGTTAACTCTTGACGCTGCTTCTGCACTCCTTGGGTCTTATCGCCCTTTTGTCTCTGCCCTCGCCCCTTTTTTTGTGATTTTAATTCATTTGTGTTTTGTTTCAGCTGCGCGCCCAGAATCGCAAATGAGCAAAACGTGTAAATTATACGCGTCGCGGTCACAGCCAACGCAAATAAAGCAGCAGCAGCAGCAGCAGCCGCGGCAGCAGCAGCGACAGCGACGCGACGTCGCATGTTTCCTACATTACTTTTGCTTTGCGTTTGCTCTCTTGAGCTTTACGACACGCTGTCGCTGTCGCAGTCGCAGTCGCTGTCGCCGTTGCCGTTGCCGTTCCCATTGTCACCCAACAGCGTCGTCGTCGCCCGCGCCTTTTGTGCTCTTAGCGAAGTTTGGGAGTGGACGTCGCGACATTTATTCATCAGCCTCAACTGAGCCACATCAATAATGAGTCGACGTCAACGTTGACGTCGTCTCACCTGACGTTGACTTTTAAGCAGCGCGTCTTGAGTTATGTTTATTGTTTGTTTTGGCATTCCTGGGCGTTCTCTCTCTGTCTGTCTCTTATTTTTTTTGTCAAAGGTTTAGCAGCATCTGTCTTTATAGCCAGCTGTCGTTGACTTATCCATCATTAAGGTCAGGCTTTCAATTGCGCACGCGTAACGGCATTCAAAGCTCGCGTTTAGAAAGCTCTCAATTGTGTCCTAGTTGCCGCCATTTAAAACGCGCTCTGCAAGTTAAGAGAGCATGTTTACTGTTAGAGATGAGCTGCCGCCCCTTTTAGGCAAATACCGAAGTGAACTGAGCTGCGCTTATGCTAGAAAATTAAAAAAACTAAGAGAATTTAATTAATTAAAATAGAGGATACTTTTCGTTCTTAGCTTGAAAAATGAATATTATCTATGCAAAACGCAAGGCGCCTGTTTAAAAAATTAATTAATTTACTATGCTGTCTCGTAAATCGTTTTGCATTTACTTAAATTTGATTGTTTGGCGTTTTTGAAGCTAGTTTTGAAGTGTTTTCAAATTTATTTTATGGCAGCTAAAAATTAATTTTCAAAGAGATGTTAAATAAAGCAAGCCTCTTTATTGTTTATGATAAACCGAAACTGAAATGCGATAATATTAGCAAACATTTTTTTATTGTAAATAAATTATTTTTTATTGTCTCTAAAGTTCTTTCTTATATCCGTCGAATTTATAGCCCAAGTTTATTTCAATTCAAAAGGTTTTTTTTTAATAAAATTTAAACGTTTTTTAAAGCGTTTCCAAAGTTTTTTTTGTAACCTTTTCCGTGTTAATGTCACTTTTAAAGAAAAGATTAGATAAGCAAATGTTAATTTTGATTTAATTTTTTGCTTTTAAATAGTTTTCGTTTGTTTTAAAGCTATTATTTGCTCTTTTTTTCCGGCTAAAGTTCAATTAAGTTTAGCACATTAAACGCTCGCCGCCGTTTTGCGAAAAGTCAGAAGTTCATTAATTTGCATGACCTTTCGATGTGCGGTCTAATTGAATAATAATTGACA